CCCTCCTCTGGACCCGCTCCAACAGGTCCGTGTCTGTCTTGTGTTGAGGGCTCCAGAGCTGGATGCAGGACTGCAGGTGGGGTCTCACCAGAGGAGATATTCCTGAATTCTGATGACCGGGTGTAACAAACCTGTAATTTCCTGTTTCTCTTACTGATCATTAGGCTGAAAAGTGTCAATTGTTTAGGCTAGGGGAAAAAAAAAGATTCAGTGGATAGCTTAGGTTTCACCTTTTTTTAGTCAGAATGGTAATCCTACTCTGTGAGTGTGCGTGGCTGTGATATTTTCTGGGAGAAAGTTTCCTTTGAGACATAGGTAATTTTTTTCAAACTGCATATTCTGTTTAATTTAACTGGTAGTGTAACTCATGGTGGAATTTTGCAGCAAATAACTATGTATTAATTCCCATTTTAGTGGTGTTGGTGCCATAATATTTTGTTAAAGCCCCCGGATAAAAACAAGAATAGCATGACAAGTTCCTCCTAAATGAGTTGGCATGTAAAGTCAACAAATCCCTGTATAATTTATGAATGTGAAGCAAATGGCCTGCATATACTCATAGGGTTGTTGTTATAGTTTATGACTTGAGGCAACTAGCAAATCTGCAGCAGAGCTCATGCGACATGATGGTGTGTATTTAAAAATTTAAGTCCTAAAATTTTCTCCCCCCTGCTTAGTACAGTGTGCATGTATATTCATTTTGGCTTTTGTGCATTATCTCTCACCAAAGCCTCAGCTTGATATTTTAAAGGGGTGTTTGTAGATCATCAGAAGGAAGCTGTGTACATGCTAGAAAACTATGAAGTGGAGAATCAGAGAGAAGATCAAAAGATTGACAGCAAGAGAAAATAAGCAAGGAGAGGAATTAGGGTTTGGGATGGTTTTTATTATTATCTCACATGCAGATTTCCCAAGAAGTTTTAGAAAAGACTTCATGTTACACCTAGACAGATTAATGTTTTCCAAATACACCAGTAGACTAATGTGGAATTACAACTGCACTATTATCCAGGGTCTTGACTGATGGGATGATTTCGCCTGTTTCCCCACACATCTTACAGAAAACAATAGCCTCTCTAAAGGTAACTGCATCAAGAGAAATTGCTACTCTGAGATGTCAAGTATTCAGCTTGCCTTGCCTGGGTGTACTTCATCAGACTTAAAAGCAGAGCGTATTTAACTTTCTTTACATGAGGCATGTACAGTACCTTGGAGAGGCACAAAGGACAGTAGCACCGTCAAGGCCTACAATTGCCTTTCAGTTGTGGTATTGAGGAATTAAATTCTTAGTACTCTTAGAGGATTTTTTTACCTTTTTCTAAGTGAAGGACCTTTTCACTGAAAAGGTTCACTCTAGCCATCAATTCATTTATTGCTGGTTTCTTCTTTAAGAAGAAAACTTCTACTATGAAGACATTATTACTGTATTCATTAGCTTTCTTACAGTGAAACTATTTTTTTCCCTTGGTAAGCTGCAGTTAGGCGAATATTAACTCATGTCTTTTTTTAGTGGAATTATGTCTGACACAAAACAGGAAAGTTCATTTTTGGCATATGAAGGCATTTCTGGGGTGTCCCTTTCAGCTGGGTGGACATTTTGTCACTTAGTTAACTGTTAATGAACCAAAAC